ATAAAAGACAATGAAATATGTGACCAAAATATACTCAGAATATGTAACGTTAAACTCTTTTTAAAAAATTTTAATATTTCGTTAACCGTAAGTCTTTCAAGTCATTGTTTACGACAACACTTGTTTTGTTACTAGTGTTTAGATTCGAGGTAAAGTATAAAAAAGAAATAACTTCTACACCTCTTCGATCTCTCTCGAGTGCTTTCATTATAAATCTTATTACGACCTTGCCGTTAAGACAGCTTCCTTTGACTATCACAGGCTGTTCTCAGGAGTCGAAAGGGTTGGCCATCCTTTTGGAGTAAAGCATCCTAACGCGGTTGACCGCCACATTTGAACTTAAACTTTCATACTGGGGACTAGAAGCATGCTTACTTCATTCTAATGGGCTTGAAAATACATTTCATAACCGCCTAAGAGGGTTACTGCATAAAATTTTTAAAATCGAGTAATCCCTCCTAAGATTTTCCTACTTATCAGATTGGAGTTAGTGTGTGCGTAATGAATAGGCTTTAAAAGAAATAGTTTCGGTAATAAAATACCTTCTTTTAAGTTAATTTTTATTCCACCCAATAATACATATTTATTTAAGAACCCTTCACTCAAGCAAAGAGATAACATTGGTGCTTTCAAACTACTTAGTAAAATAGTTCATTGAGCTTTAGAAACTCGAATGATACTGGAATCCAGTGAGAGATGGGATATTGCAAGTCAATGGGGTGGTGTGTTTCTCTAGAATTTTAGTCTATACTATGACTTAACGAAGGTCCTACTTCTATAAATATTTTATGCAGCTCATCAGTAGTAATTATTAATAGAACTAGGAATAAATTACTATCTGCCTAACCTTCATTAGGCCGCAGTTCAAAATTTTATTTTAAGGTTAAAAGGTTCTTAAACCTTAACAAAAGGATTTATAGGATTGGAAGCATATTTTGCCGAAACGAAGGTTAGTGTTTTTTGTTGGCTCAGTAAAAGTTTTAAGTTTTTGGCAACAATATCTATTCATTTGGCAACTGGAAAATCATTGATTCATAAAATTGTGTAAGCTTTTCCTATTAGCTAAGATCTCATTTACGATTACGATTTGGTATATTTCAGGTAATTTTCGACATTAAAAAAAGTTCTCAACACCAATCTTTTTGCTACCTATATAGACGACAGTTGTTGCTTAAACAATGAATATAGTAAACGAGCTAATGTGACTGGATATAGCTCATCAATATAAATTATAAATTAAACATACGTTTGCAGTTTGATTACTATAGGCATTGAGTTATCATTAAAATTTTTATAAAAATATGTTATAATATTACGGTACCGTATTACTTTAAGCTTTGTTCGTTTAAAAATGCTGGAAAATTTTTAATACTATTAAAAAATTTAGTTATTTTTCCGTTTAGCAGTACTAAAAACTTTATTTTCAAGTACTTGTATTGTCATATAATAACGCAAATCTTATTGTAGTCAAACGCTTAATATTACCGTATACTGTGTAATTAAAGTGGTCAGCGTTGGAAGAAGTTTTTACGTTGCGCATACTTGCAATTGATCAATTTTTACATAATTTGATATCTTATTACTAAGGGTTAAGAAATTCTCGTCAGAATACATATAATTTATTTCTTTGAAATAAGCAGTTCTTCTTTATATTTAAGGTGAGTATAGTTGTTAAGTTTGTTATCAGTTTCGCTTAAAAAGGAAAGTCACCCGCCCTAGCGCCAGCAACTGCCGTACTACCTAGGGTTGCTTTCCAACTTGGTGTCGTCGCTTTTTTCTTTAGAATTACTATTATTGCAGATAAGAACAAAGCCCTCCTTATCACAAAAAAGCGCACTACACCACTACCGCCCCTGGCCTTTGAAAATAAGGTAATTCCTTGGTGTCCTCAGGGGCGAAGTACCTGGGGACCATTAATAATACTAAGCGCTCGTGGCCACCGCACTTAAACTATATCTCTGCGAAGATCAAGGCGGCGGTTCAAACTCTTTACCTTTTCCTTTATGCTCGAAGGAAACTTTCGCCGCATGCCAAATGACGCTTGTTTTTGTTGTGCATCTGACCGATCATGACATACGCGTCTATTGCCTGGGCCTACGACTCATCAGCAATAGTCTCTTCGCTTCAAGTGAGACAGAACAAGCTGCTATGCCTTATGATAGGCGCGCCGTAATAGTTCGCAAGGACTTCTTACAGCGAAACCACCAGCTTGAACCTCTGGGTAACGTTTTTCAACGCAATGCTATCGTCACCTACGATCTGTCTGGTCAGCACACCAATCGATTACCGGCAAATCAGGTCAACTACGGCGCAAACTATCGCCGACCGCGCTATGAATTCTAAATATATGGGTTAGGGGTAGAATTAAGTATATATATATATATATATATATATGAGATTTTATTAAAACAAGCTCAAAATTAATGTGTACAATATCACCCTGTTGAGAGCTCGTAAATTCGGTGTTTGCTTTTACGACCCTATCGAGAACTAGGAACTATTACTAAAAAAATATATATACTTTTTACATTTTTTAATACAAAGCCTATGTTTAAGAATGCATGAATACCACTTTAAATAAAAACAGGATACCAGAATAAAATTATTAAAAAATATTTTTCAGTGAAAGTATATACGGCGCTAGAAAGTACATAAGGCACCTTTGTTACAAGTTTGTTCACATCGCTTTCATTATTCTACCGCAGAGAAAGACTTCGATTAAATTTTAGTTTGTGAAACCTTTTGAAGAGTCAGTAAGTGGTACATCTGATAGATTCTAAAAAATAAATAATTTCGAGTGACTCATTTTTAAGCGCGAGTAAACAAAAAGTTAATGCATCACTTTTAACACGAATAAAATTATTAGAGAATCTTCACTGTTTGTAATGTATTAATTACTCTTGATCCTTCAAGCTCTTATGTTAACGATATGAAAAGTAACGAAGTTGCTTTTGAATACGGTATAATACAACACTAAGTAATAATAAAGGCTTGCCTTTTCGCTGTTTAATGAGGGACTCAGCGTTCTAGGCATTTTTTCAATAAAAGTCGTAACGCCGAAGTTAAATATATCTTTAAAATATAAACATGAAAGAAATATAAAAGAAAAAGTTAGTTACTTTATGATTACCTTTAGATTTATCTTATTATTGTTGTAGACCTGACAAAGCGACTTTATACCCCAGAAATGCTAATTTTCCCAAGTTTTATTATATTTTGTTCTAGTATATGTTAGATTTTATAGTTTTATTAATTTACACACTTATATTTCTATACAAACTTAATATCTTCTCTTTTAATTTTTATAAATAGTAATATTTCATTTAATACTATAAATTTAATACTAGTAAAGTCTTCGCTAAATCACTGTGAAGTTAAGATGTTTTTAGGAACAGGTACAAAAAAAAAAGGCCACTGGAAACTAGTCTTACGTAAAAAGTACTAGAGACCTATCTGCTCTTGGTTTTAAAATAAAGCTTGGACTTCTAATATGGAGTAATAAAAAAAAACACTGTCGATGCTGCCAGTGTTAAGGGTGCAAAGGAATGCTCATATAAACATTAATAGTAATAATAATAAGGAATAACAGTAATAATATTCGAAATTAGGTCAACAAAAGATGTATTAGCTCAGTGATAAGGAGCATTGACGCGCATTCTAAAGGCCGTGGAACCCTTCGATTCACACCAACGCGACTCTCTTTTTCGGTCTTTGATGTTTGCGTAATGTAACCTTGCCCTCATAAATTTTAACATGTTAAATAACGTAAAGCCATCATAACAGTATTATGAATAATAGGCGAAACACTAGCGATAACACATCATTAACAGTCACTCTAACAACCGCGGTGACTAATTAACACTTTACTTACATAATGCCGTCATGAGAAATGAAATTTGTAGTTCACCTAATGAGTATTGACACTCTTAAAGTCGTAAGGTCGATTGCTTTTCGGTCTTTATTGGTGCCACTTCGCAGTTTCATCAAACCCTTAGTTCTAGTATCAAAGTACGGCAACCATAATCATGTACTTCCAGCTCAAAGCCAAGGTTTAGTAGAGGGTTAATAGCATTATGACTTTCTCAAACTGCCTTTTAGAAAAATTCGTTCATGCGTCCTCCAGACCTCAGTGAGGTGTGCTATAAAGGATTGATCAGTCAGTAAAGACTACCTATAGTCGAACTACCGAATTGAAGTTATACCACCCTTTTTTGGACACGGGAATTGTTTCAATACCCACTATAATGCATGCTTCGGAATTTTCCGCAAAGGGTACTCACTACTAATGAAGCAGCCATAGACTCAGAGATATTGCCAGGGGTAAGTATATCATGACCCCATGCAGTCCATTGGAAGCTATGTCATTGTGTAAATTAAGCAACTAGCGCAGTGGATTGGTATCCTATAATTTTACTATCGTTTATCTGAAGCTATCAAGTTGGGAGGCCTAATGGAATAGATTTCCACTGCCCTTGCGCAAGGTTAAGCTAGCAGGTAAAAGGTTAACTTTTTTTTTTTTGGTCTACCAATACAGTGCTAACCAGTGATAATGTTGAAACAGAGTCCATACTGAGCAACATAACTAATCATCCTAGTTTAAATCTATGTTAAAATCTTTACTTATTTGGTTAAATTAGCTAAGGGAAGGTTCTATATAGACGGCTATCTCTCATACAGGGTGTTTTTAAGCACAATAATTATTCTCTGATCCTGTTTTTATTGGAGTCACGATTTTTTTACATCGGAATTCTTCATTATTTACGCATAGGTCTAAAATATTAATTTTTTATAATCACATTTACCGTTCCTTCGCAGTGCTCTGGTTCAAAATTAACCTGGTTTTAATTAGTCCTTTCAACTCGGGCCAAATCCCCGATTTGAAGTAAGCTAAATTGCTATAAGTGGAGGATACCCAAATCATCTTCTTTCAAATCACTAAAGACAGTTAAAACTATTTTTTAAATTCCTTCACAACCCGTGGGTGTCTCATATCGGCGTATTGGGCGCTTCCTTCCTGTGGAAGTTCATTGATGATTTTTCACAAATATCGGTTGAGCAGTAAAAAGTTTACCACTGCTTTCAGCAATGTGTAATTTCTTTGACTCTTTTCTTTTTAATTCTTTTCTTTTAATAAACTAAACCTATTTCATATTAAAAACTTTAACAGCCGTCCCTGCTTTCAATCGTCGCTATGGTTGGTTCTAATTTTTTTCATTTACTGTTGGACTATTTTATTGCCGTTAAGTTAATCGCGGTATTATTTAAAAACTCGTTTATTCATAGATCTAGTTCCGCAGAAGGTTGCCAATCTTGCTAGGGAGAGGTATAATATTTTCTTATTTTGTTTATTTGTTAATCCGTACTTTATAGATCTCTTAACTTAGTCTACATCTTTCCCTGTAAGACCAAGATATATAGAACAGTTGACGAAATTTTTAATATATTTGGAATAGGTAGAGAAGTTAAGTTATATAAACGTTTAAGTTACTATTAATCTTACCTGAAAAGGGTTTGAACCTCACTTTGAGTACATATTTACTGATTCACTTGAAAAAAGAGTTTCTTTTGATTTATTAAAAGTGCAAGATCACATTGTTTCTGTGAAGTTTAAAGATTTAAATCTTAACTCTGATGGTTGGTTAACTTTGTCTATTTTTATGGAAGGTTATTTATTTAATCCAGCACGAGTGGGCTTTCTTTCCCAAAGTTAGTTGGGATGGCTATCACCAAACCTTTGTTTATGTACATCTAAATAAAACTTTTGCCCCTCTAGTTTATGTTATCCCATTCCTTGGTTATTTCCTGAAACATTATGTTTATTCTGCTCGTGAAGTTTAATAGCTGTCATAGTTATTTTTAATGGCACGTGAAAATATTATTCTACGTATTTTTTCGAGGTGGTTCAGCTTTGTCTCTTTACACGTTGAAGTCCAAAGGCTTTTCCCAGTTTGCGAATGATGTACTTTACCTTTGTTGTGTAAGTTGGAGCTGAGTTTTATTAGTTTACTAATAATCTTATTGAAAGTATTTAATAAAAGTTGGTCTTAGCTAATATGATAGTTTCGTGTTTTAAAGAAGATTAAGTGTTTCGCGCAAAAATAGGTTTCCGTCAAGTAACTTGTTTAAAGTGACTATAATTATTATCTCTAATTGCTTTTATCATCAAATTAACTTTGGCATGCACAATTACACGCACTTAAGCGTGGACATTATATGACTATCAAATAATAAAAGACAGATCAAGAAAAGCAAGGATATGGCTCTGGTTATCACGGAACCAGTAGTCCTTTATCTTAAAGAACTCCCCCGCCCCGAGAATTTGTATTATGGTCATACGTATCCTCGAACTCATACATACTCCATCCATCTTTAAAACGCATATGTTATCTTGGACGTCGATAGTAAAATTATTAGGATGCCTATTGGCTTCCGTTTAGTAAATGGAGCTTGACGAAGGAGTGTCCACGCTTAACAAAGTTCTTTATTGGTAAAAAGGTTTAACAAGTCTTAATTGCATAAGTATCTTCTTTGTGGGGCAAGCAGAGTAGAAAGACATTTTCTTTAATAAAGTTTAATGGTTATGGCTATAGAGTTCGCGCTAGGTTCATCGGTTTTGCAACCCAGAAACTGAGCACTCTTTGCAATAAGATTTAAAGACCTTTTTAGAGCCTACTAAAGTTTTGGCTCTAGCAACCGAAACCTACTTATAGTTACAAAAGCAGCTTAAAATATTTAAAAGCAGGAGTATAACTGTTATTACCGATCGGACAAGGGCCTGTCAATTCATTAAAATATTTTTTTCTGAACTAAACCTGTCATCACCGCCTCGGGTCTATATAAGCTTTACCATACATATTATACCGAAAAACCTACTAATCTAAAATCGTTTTTAATTATAACCCAAAATGAATCTGAGTCGACTTAAAAAAGTGGAAAAGATGCCATCAACAAGCTAATGTTCGCTAAACAGTTACAAGGGGAAACCCCAAACTATCAAAACTTTGTTGTAGGCTGTAAATATATCACTTTCACTTCATGTGTCGGCTATTTAGGGTATAACTACAATAGAACAATAATTGCTACCGTACGATATATAACTTTCATAGTGATGATTAACCAGTGTCCTAAGTCGGGTGCAATACTAGTATATATTTTTCTCTTCAAGCTCTGTAAATTCTGTCCAGCTCGTTGTGCTTCTTCCTCTAACCCTCGTATTTTTCCTTATTTTTTTTTTAAGGCCTTTGTGTTTATATGATCTTGAATTATTTTACAATGAAAAATTTAGTTTTCATGCAATCAATCAACTACCTAAGCCGCTACAGGAGCTACGAAAGGAAGGCTGCGAAAATTTTTTTTTTTTTTAGCAACAGTTCCTGGTACTCGACTTGAAAAACTTCGAATGCCCTAGCCCTCAAGCAGGAGTGACCGCAGATATATTACAAATAACATTTAGGGTGTCATTATTTTTTTTTTTTTACATTAACAAAAAAAATTAAAAACTAGCGCTTACGCGCATCACATGGGCGGACGAGCCCCGTCCGACGGCTCATAAATAAGTTCGCCCACCCGCAGGCGATTAGTGTGCCTTGTGAGTCTGTCGCAAAGAACCACGGCATGGCGTTGGAGGACAGTGTTTAAAGGGCCCAGCTGTAGGTCCCGGCGAAGAGCATCATTTCGCACAAACCACCGGCGCCTTTGTCAGAGCACGCAACAATTTGTTCTGTCTTTCTTGAAAGGCCGGCGCAATTGCAGTGGGGTCCTAGGTCCAAGCAGCAGACGCGTATGTCGTTAATGAGTGGGTATAAGACAAATACAATCGCCGTTTGTTTGCAGAGAAAGCTTACTCTTGCTGCAAAGTAAAGGATAAAGCGCCTTGGTTGCTACCTTGACCTTCGCCACTACATAGTTCACGTGAGGCCGTCAGGAATATTGGTTGTCGATGATTGACAAGTATTTCGCTTGAGAACACCATTGGAATCTTCACGCAGTTAAAGGTTTAGGGCACCTACAAAGTGAGGTGTTTCTATGATACTAATTTAGCTTTGCTCTTCATCGCATTTAAGGGTGTCAAGATAGCACTATCAATGCTTGCATACCAAGGCGGGAGACTTCGAAGAGGTGTATACTGTTCTACCATCAGCGTAGAGGGCGAGTTGTGCGTGTAGGTTGGACGGCAAGGACACTCTGCTCAGATAAATTGCAAATAAAAGGAGCGAGGGAGGGACCCTGGAGGACCTCTGCTGTCAGAGAGCGAAGCGGTGGCCGGGTATCTCTTACGAGCACGCTGAAGATGCGACCACTCAGATATTTCAGCAGGTTATAAAGGGTATGTGGGACGAATAACGCGCGCAGTTTGTGCAGCAGACCTTCATGCCAAACTTGATCGAATGCCTTTTCAACTTCAGCGAAGAGAGCGCCTGTTGCCTTCTTATGGTTAAAAGCACGAGGGGTCTATTCAGTTAAGAGGAGGAGCTGCTGGGTCATTGAGCGCCCTGGTCGAACTCCAAACTGAAACTCAGGTAAAGCTTTCCGAGCGTCAACGACCATTTTAAGACTATGCAGTAAAAAGGTCTTATTCATTTTGTTGACCGCTGAGAGTAAACTGAGGGGTCGGTAACTGTTAGCTGCTAATAAGTCCGGTTTAAGTGTTTTTGGTAGCATCACAACAACCGCCGTCTTCCATCGAATCGGAAAGTCGCCAAGGAGCATCAAAGCTTTTATAAGGAGGTAAAGATACTGCATGCCTATTAATGGCATTTTCATCAGTATCCCGTTAGTGACGACATCAGGCCATGCGCTTTTCTAGGTAGCGCTTCGGCAATTGCTTGCACCTCGTCAACATTAACTAGATTAAGTGGTTCGTAGTTAAGGGGTGGGTAAACTCAACTGAGATAACGAATCATCGTTAGCAGTATAGTGAGCGACTGGCGCCTTTTGGATAGCAAGAACATTGGCGAAAATCTTAGCTTTGTCTCCATCATTCTCGGTCACTATATTTCCTTCAGAAAGGGGCAGTAGCAGTGTCCCCGTTTTTTAATCCTTTTAATAAAATTTCTAAAAGGAGGAGCGGTTGCGGCCCCCTGATTTAGATATACGATGCAGTTTGCTCTCCCAGTTATTGTTAAAATGGGTTTAGCCTTTTTCTAAGCACATGTGAAGTCCATTAAGTGCAAGTTTGTCTTCGGCGCTCTGCGACAACATAACTACTCGAACAAGGCGTCGACGGGGACAGATAAAGGGCTTTATAACGTCAGGTAGGCAAACGGGGTCGTACGTTACTTCACGAGTTGTCCTGTCAGTAGTGTTAGCCATGTTCAGTGCGGTTTTGGAAAGGGCAATAGCGTCAACCAGCAGGACGGGCTTGGAGGGTAATGACGGCCACGGCGTAATACACTCAGCATATTTGACCCAGTCGGTAAAAATACACTTAATGGTCTTTGATGTCCTTCTTGTCCCCTAAATCGAAAATAATTGGGAGGTGATCGGAGGACAGCTCATAGAGCGCTTCAATTGCCGTAGAGTGACGTCTGTCTTTAAGTATGGCGAATATCTAGTACCTCCATTGTGCCTGTAGTCGCCAAGTAATTTTTTTTTTGGTTACTGGAGACCTTGCACACACAGCCCGCGTTCATCAGCATAGACCTCAAGGATGTGGCCATTCGAGTTAGCGGCTCGGTTGTTCTATGTAGGGAGTTTGCAATTAAGACCTCCGCACAAAACAGCAGAAGAGGCTTGGCTTTCCCAATGCTGGCGTCCAAATCGGAAGGCGGAAGTGGATCCCAAGGGAATTAGTAGACAGTGATTACAGACACGGTCCCCTGGTCGACCATACATAGGGAAATTCCCCACTGCTTGGACGCCTTGTAGAGCTGGCATTAGGTTTCGCATGATATCGAAGCTACGAGAAGTTATTCATTTATTTATTAATAAATGGCGTTTTCTAATGCTCGATTGAGTTAACCACTTCGAATACACGAGCTCTCGAAGAAGTTTTTATCATCCACGAGTACAAGTAAAATTATTATCTGAAACTGTGTCCGTCATGTTCGATATAAACCCCTAACTTAGCTTTTAACCCTCATGCTAAGAGTGCGCCATCCCTCAACTTGTAGGTGAGTTCTTCCACTAAAAGGCATTAAAGTGTCCAGCTATTCGTTTCGTGAGGCGACGGCGACATCATTTTTTAAATTGTGGTCAGCATATCAGTCTGTAGTTCGTGGTGAACTATATCGTTGCGTCCAAACCACAGCTCTTTTGTTAAAAGCGCAGCATTTTACCCTGTCGCACTCGAAGCGAGGAAGTTATAGTCGTTATGTCATAATCGGTCGGATGCACAGCACATAAAGCCTTTGGCCATTGCCCAACGAAAGCTTACTTTTGCCGTAATAGGGGGCATAGCTTCTGGGTCGCTGCCTTTAAATTCACCGCTACGTAAATTATTGTATCATCGGCGTAAATGGCGACCACTCGCGAAAGTGAACTGGGCATATCGTTTGTATAGAGCGCAAATGGCAGCGGTGACAAAGTAGAGCTTTACGGGGCCCCCTAAGTGGAATGGCGAGGTGACGACAGTGCAGTGCCTACTCGCAAGTTGAAAACCTTGCCGTTTAGGTACGATTTGAGCGCGGTATCGCCAGAGCCTGTAGCTTGCTTAAAAGGCCACCAAGCCATGCTCTGTCAAAAGCTTTCCTAACATCCAGAAAGACAGTGCCGGGACCAGGCTTCTCCACGCAGGTTTT